TGGTCATTGTGACTTTCCCAGGATTTATATGTGCTTTGTGGTAGCATTTAGTCAGACTACATTAATTTAACTAATGGGAAATCTCTATAGTCGTCGTAAATTAATAATAATCATTTATCAAATAATAAATTAGCAGACATATACAACTTTTAATGTTACAACTTTTCGGGTAGGCCGTTCTGTTTGTTTACAACCCCAATCTTTAAAAAAACACAATACTTTTAATATATAAGTGACTAAGTATGCTCTAATACATGGTCCTCAATGAAAATAATTTTTTTTTTTAATTTGTCCATAATGAATAAGATTTCTTACTGTTGATCTTTATATTAAGAAAAACATCTAAGAAATTTGCTATTGAATTTTCGTTCAAATAAAGTTTCCAGTTACTATTTCCTAGTTCTCCTTAAATGTAGGTAGTCATTATTTTACTGTTATGTATATAGAAATTTAGCATTATGCATTTATAATACAGAACAATTTGGTCGTTCCACTGCCTCATAATTATATAAAATACATTGTGACAAATACTTGATAGTTAAAATCAGAGTTTTTTGACAACTATAAAAAATCCTGTTGAAATCATGCCGTTTTGAGTTGTCATACGCTTCTTAGTAAATAATATTGTGTAATGTTTGGTACAATTTATCACTGTATTTACAAACTGTTTAGGTATTAATGTATTCGTTTTTTTTAATGCGTAATATGTTACGTAATCCTAAACTTCTTTTGCAACGTTTATATCAGATATAAATAATTGTCGCGAAACGGCGTAGGAAAAAATAAATTTCCCCAAATGAAATTAGTGTATCGGCGATCGAGCGGCCATATTTAAAAGTGTATACTCTTGTCACTGTTCTGACAATAGTTTTCGGTGTACGTATTTCATTTTTGTAACAATGTGTTCGTAATAGAATGTTTTAGAAGAACGTAAGTATAAAACGTCACATAAGGATGCCTTCGACCGGCAACAAATATAAAAACTACGTCAGTTATACTCGTTGTGTCAATAATACAATTGTTTTACCACGATGATTCACTGCCATGCCGTTTTCCCAAATAAGCTCTTTGGCTTTTAAAGAAAACGTAAGTTTCATGGCAAACATTTGTAAACTATCCCCAAGTAGATCGGATCGAAATTTGAATTTATACAAATATTTATTCTCGTGTTGCCCGCCAGTGTCACCCTTGAGGAACCCGAACAAAACTTAGTGAGGTACTCGTGCACCACCGCGGGCGATAGTGTACGTTTAATTGTTCTTTTAGTGTAAATAACGGAATAAAATGTAAGACATAGTCTGCATATCTTTTTCGAGATGTCTTTTAAGTTTTTTCCTAAAGAAAACTAAGATTTTGCGAATTTTGCTTAACAAGTACATTAAATATTAACTTTTTGTCGTTATTATTGTTATAATTAAAAGAATTACACCTTGTTTTTTGCTTATGTAAAAACATGGTATAATAACCAGTTCGTTGCCCCTAAATCAACACAACATAACCAGTTTACTCATGTCATCGCCCCTAAATCAACAAAAACAACCAGTGTACTGTTGTAAATATTTATAGCTTAGGATTTCTTAGCTCAGTTTAGTCATTCTTAGACTCTGGTTTTAGGTTAGATTAACCTTCGTAACCTTCGTATGCTGTATACGAACGGTCCATAGAATTACCCAAATCGGCCCAAAAGACCCCAAATCCTCCTAGCATTACGTAAGTAATGAAGAAATATGGTATATTTACTTACTATAATGTTGGTGCTACACGTAGAACATGATCAAACCTATTTTTACTCTGAAATAATCTAATTTCATAACGAAATGAGACGTAAATATGTGAGAGGTGACGCCATAGGAAGTCGACGGTCTAAGCGACAATTTTGTGGAGCGACTTATCCAAGATATATGGTCGCCTGGAGAGTGTTTGCTGCCATATCAGCCTCCTGTACACAGTGATCCAGTCGTCGCATTTCATGGCTCAAATTGTCGCAAATTTAATTGGTGATATTAACAAGTAGAATGTGTATTTATAATAATATCTTTCATAAACAGCCACAAAATCTTTAATATTTATTAAACAAAACGTGTCTGGAAGTTAAATCAACTCCACAGGACAATAAATTTGTTATATAGATACTAGCGTTATTCGTTGGTATGTGTTCGCTATTTAAACTACTCATGTCCTTTTCGTTCATAGAACACCGTACCCTACACGCTCTCTGATATATTGCTTAATTAGCAAATATTCACAAATAAAGGTTATATTTGTATATGTTATCAGAAAGGCAGATATAAAATAGTTTTTGTGAATCCATCACAGAGATTATACCTTATTAGAGAGAAAAAATATTCATATTTTAAACAAGGCTTCTTGGCCGACGCTCTCCCTTTCGATGGGAACTATGACCTTTTGAAGATCAATGTTAATTGAATCTAGATATTGTAAAAAACGAAGTTTTTTTATGTCATCAGAAAGACATATAAGCAGCATGTTAATACTTTGGTATAAATATTACTGAAGTGAAAGTGAAGATATATGCCTTTTTATAGTTACTTGATGGCTCGCTCAGGGAGTGTGAAGGCCTCCACACAAGCCAATCAATTTTATAATTAATGTACATATATGCAAAGTAGCGTCAAAGGTCTTTATTTCAGAATAAAGACAGATGTAGACGATAATGTAAATACATTTCAAGGAAAACATATCTCGCTCAAATGAAAGCAAATATAAGTAAATACATTTCAAGGAAAACATATCTTAAATGTCAAATAAATAGCCAATACCACACCATCGCCAGTGTCCGGACACATGAATAGTCGTAATTTGAATAACAAAGCTTAAGTTGCATTCACTGGAAAGGCGAAGAGTTAGGGGTGACATGATAGAGGTTTACAAGTGGGTGAATGGACATAACAAAGGGGATATTAATAGGGTATTAAAAGTATCAACACAAGACAGAACACGAAACAATGGGTATAAATTGGATAAGTTTAGATTTAGGAAAGACCTGGGTAAATACTGGTTCAGTAATAGGGTTGTTGATTTGTGGAACCAATTGCCGCGTAACATTGTGGAGGTGGGGTCCCTCGATTGTTTCAAGCGTGGGTTGGACATGTATATGAGTGGGATTGGGTGGTTATAAATAGGAGCTGCCTCGTATGGGCCAATAGGCCTTCTGCAGTTACCTTTGTTCTTATGTTCTTATGTCCGTGAAGACTGGCTCGATGCCGTTGTCTTCCCTGTTCACAAACCAGGGTCTCTGGGAACATCATCTAAGGACTTTTGCACTATTGCCTTCCAAGTTGTGTCTACAAACTCTTTGAACATATAGTTAACGTTTCTCTGATATGGTTCTAGGAACACCATCACCTTCTCTCCCCTTCTCAATTTGGTTTCCGCAAGTGCTGAAGCACAACAGATGTCCTGGTGAACTTGGACGTCTATATTCGTACTGCTTTTGCTACGAAGACCTCCGGTGTTGCCGTCCTTTTTGACCTGGAAAAGGCTTATAACACCACTTGGTGATATCATATTCTATCCTAGCTTCATTCCTTTGGCCTTCGTGGTCTTCTCCCTCTCTTTCTTCGCAACTTCCTTTCTCGTTATTCCTTTCAGGTGAGGCTTGGTACCGCTCTCTCTGCCTCTTTTCAGCAATACCAAGGTGTGCCTCAGCAACCCGTTCTCACACAAGACAGCACATTTTACTTATGCTTAAAGTCAATATGTTGAATGTGAATTAGTACATATGTGATATATTCCCAGTTACCTTTTTTCCAAGGCCCAAACTCTTCCTCACGTACCAATTTACGTCTCACAGTACCCGTTCATCAACGTAGATAGCAGAATAGTCGTGATTAGTTCAATTATAATGAAAATTGTAGTTTTCAGGTCCCACATGGGTTGTGAAATGTACCTACTATTGTCCATGCTCTTAGAATATTACAGATCAGCTACATCCTATTGAAAGCTCGTAGTTTTGTTTTGAGAAATATTAGTTGTTTTTAGTAAATTATAATAAGCACTATAAATTATTACATAGAATAACCGTGCTTCACCAATCAATATTATATACAATAGTTTGTGCTTTAAAAATCTTTAAAGAATGTTTGTAGGAACGCTAACAGAAAACGATATTACGTTGGAATGTCTATGGGGTAAACTACTGCAAACAGGATGGTATAGTGTCTACTATACCAACTATAGGATGGGTATATTTGTTCCGAACCATAATGGAAACAGACCCAACTATGGGATCGGTTAACCCAAGTATCGCGTTTCCAAAAGGGTCGCCCATGTTGGAAAAGACGAACGCCGAAAGAATATTGTTGAAAACATCTTGATGACTTATTAAACCAAAATTATTTATTAGTCAGTAGAGAGACAAAAACGCGATCTATCTGTAAAACCTCTACCAGACAAATATTTTAAGTAAAACCGAAGATATTTGTAGTTTTATAAAAGGGGCAGTTTTCATCGCTCGTCGAGCTCGAAAACCGCCGCATTCATCTCAGAACCATATGCCTATTTCACGCAGATTCCTTAATAAACGTAAGAGTTTCATGTCACAAGAAAGATAGAAATATAAGCTTCATTCTAAATACCTTACCAGCTGTCACGGGCTGCTTCCTGGTGGATGGAGGCCTGGTCGAGGACCGGGCCGCGGGGACACTTAAAGCCCCGAAATCATCTCAAGATAACCTCAAGATAACTAACCCCCCTGAACATGCGCCAACAGATCAGCCTAATTGCTCCTTAATTCTTATGTTATGTGTGATGATATCTGTATGTGAACTGACTAGACACAGCGCATTATGATACACACGAAGCATCTCATTACTGTCAGCGATAATATGAAAATAAAAAGATCGATAAAGGACCATGCGGCGAGCAGCCCCAGCAGGGAGTGTGGAAATCGCGAAACACGTGATTTCCCTTTCTGTCCGTATCTACAGAGGAAACATATTTTTCAGGCGCTCTTGTGGCTAGTATCAGCCTTCGTTCAGTTTCCTGCCAGTGGTGTAATGGCGTAGTAGTCACCTAGGCGCTGTGACCCGCTCGTACCAGCACAACTGGTGTTGTTATAGAAGAACATAAGAATGAAGGTAACTGCAGACGGCCTACTGGCTCATAGGAGGCAGCTCCTGTTTATAACCACCCTATCTCATTCATACAAATGTCTAACCTACGCTTGAAACCACCAAAGAATACTCTTCTATTATGTTATGCGGTAATAGGTTTCACAGATCAATAACCCTGTTACCGAACCAGTATTTACCCAGATCTTTCCTAAATGTAAACTTATCAAATTCATACCCTTTGTTTGCTGTTGTCTTGTGTTGATACTTTTAATACTCTATTAATATCCCCCTTTGTTATGGTCATTCATCCACTTGTACACCTCTATCATGTCACCCATAATTATTTGCCTTTTAAGCCAATGTAATTTAAGCTTTGTCAATCTTTCTTCATAAGACAAGTTTCTAATTTGCGGGATTAACTTCGTCATCTTACGCTGGACGTGTTCTATTGAATTTTTATCCATTTTATGTTAAGGCGACCAAAACGGAACTGTATAATCTAAATGGGGCCTAACAAAAGCAAGATATAGCTGAAGAACCACACCAGGTGTCTTGTTACTAACGCTTTGATTAATAAATTTCAGTGTCCTATTTGCCTTATTATGCATTGATTTTTTTGGTTTCAAATTCTTACTTATCATAGCTCCCAGATCCCTTTCGCAATCCGACCTCGCAATCTCAACACCATCTAACTCGTATCTTGTAACTCAGTCATCATTACCTAGCCTCAAAACCTTACACTTGTTAGCATTAAACTGCATCTGCCAATCTTTTGACCATTTCAAAACCCTATTTAGATCGTCTTCAAGTGATTGAGAGTCTTTTTCCGTGTTTATTTCCCCTCCAGATTTTTTAATCATCGGCAAATTTGCAAATATTGCTGATCAAACATGAATTTAAATCTTTTATATATATGATGAATAACAGAGGTCCCAGGACAGAGCCTTGAGGCACTCCACTTAAAACATTTTCCCACTCTGAATTAACCGTATTTATACTAACTCTTTGTTTCCTTTGGTATAGGCATGTCCTAATCCAACTTAATATAGCACCCACCAATACCGTGAGGCTCTAATTTTTAATAAGTCTTTCTGGTTGATACCTGGTTGATACCTGGTTGATGGGGTTCTGGGAGTTCTTCTACTCCCCAAGCCCGGCCCGAGGCCAGTCTCGACTTGTGAGAGTTTGGTCCACCAGGCTGTTGCTTGGAGCGGCCCGCAGGGCCACATACCCACCACAGCCCGGTTGGTCCTGAATTTCTCTTAGAAAACCGTCCAGTTTTCTCTTGAAGATGTCCACGGTTGTTCCGGCAATATTTCTTATAGTCGCTGGGAGGACGTTGAACAACCGCGGACCTCTGATGTTTATACAGTGCTCTCTGATTGTGCCTATGGCACCTCTGCTCTTCACTGGTTCAATCTTGCATTTTCTTCCATATCATTCACTCCAGTACGTTGTTATTTTACTGTGTAGATTTGGGACCTGACTCTCCAGTATTTTCCATGTGTATATTATTTGGTATCTCTCTCGTCTCCTTTCTAGAGAGTACATTTGGAGAGCTTTGAGACGATCCCAATAATTTAGGTGTTTTATCTCGTCTATGTGTGCCGTATATGTTCTTTGTATTCCCTCTATTTCAGCAATCTCTCCTGCTCTGAAGGGGTAAGTGAGTATTGAGCAGTACTCAAGACGGAACAACACAAGTGACTTGAAGACTACAACCATTGTGATGGGATCCCTGGATTTGAAAGTTCTCGTAATCCATCCGGTCATTTTTCTGGCTGACGCGATATTTGCTTGGTTATGCTCCCTAAACGTTAGATCGTCGGACATCATTATTCCCAAATCCTTGACATGCTGTTTTTCTACTATGGGAAGATTTGATTGTGTTTTGTACCCTGTATTATGTTTCAGATCCTCATTTTTGCCGTACCTGAGTACCTGAAATTTATCACTGTTAAACATCATGTTATTTTCTGCTGCCTAATCGAAAACTTTGTTGACATCTGCTTGTAGTTTTTCAATGTCTTCAGCAGAGGTAATTTTCATGCTGATTTTTGTGTCATCTGCAAAGGACGACTCGAAGCAGTGACGTGTATTTTTGTCTATATCAGATATGAGAATAAGGAACAGTAGGGGTGCAAGGACTGTACCTTGAGGTACAGAGCTTTTAACATCGCTTGGACTCGATTTTATCTAATTGACTGTTACTCTTTGTGTTCTGTTCGACAGGAAATTGAGTATCCAGCGTCCTACTTTTCCAGTTATTCCCATTGACCTCATTTTGTGAGCTATCACCCCATGGTCACATTTGTCGAACGCCTTTGCAAAGTCTGTGTATACAACATCTGCATTTTGCTTTTCTTCTAGGGCTTCTGTGATTTTGTCATAGTGATTGAGTAACTATGACAGACAGGATCTTCCTGCTCTAAATCCATGTTGTCCTGGATTGTGCAATTCATTGTTTTCCATAAAACTAGAAATTTGATTCCTAATCACTCTTTCAAACACTTTTATTATGTGTGATGTTAGTGCAACTGGCCTATAATTTTTTGCCAAGGCTTTACTCCCCCCCCCCCCTTGTGCAACGGGGCTATATCTGCAGATTTAAGTGCTGCTGGTATCTCCCCTGTATCCAGGCTCTTTCTCCATATTACGCTGAGTGCTCGCGCTACTGGTACTTTACATTTCTTTATGAATATTGATTTCCATGAGTCAGGCCCAGGAGCTGAGTGCATAGGCATATTGTCAATTTCTCTTTCAAAGTCTTCCGAGTTTGTGGTAATATCCGTTATATTATCTGCAGCTTGAATGTCATTCATAAAGAAGCTGTCTGGGTCATCAACTTTCATGTTGTTTATTGGTGTGAGCTAAACATAGCCTCATACTGGCCTCTTTCATGTGGCACTGTATCAAAAGCTTTGCTAAAGTCAAGGTGCACAACATCGCAAACCTTACTACTGTCAATTGCCGCAACTAGGCTGGAATAAAATGATAGGAAATTTGTTAAACATGAATGACCATTCGTAAAACCAAGTTGCGAATCATTTAGTAATTTATGTTTTTAAGATGAAGACGAATGGTATTTGCAATTATCGTTTCAAGTAACTTTCCCACAATAGACGTTAGGCTAATTGGCCAATAGATTGACACACGTGATCTATCTCCTTTCTTGACAATTGGAACCACATTATCAACCTTCCACGACTCTGGCACCCTGCCTGATTCTAATGATATATGAACAGTGAGTAGCAACTGCAGGCAACTGTTTTGTATTCAAGTTATGATATGAATATCAAGGACGTAAATAGTTCTTATTATTACATCTGGGAAGTGAGGCAGGACAATACAGTGAGTGAGGCAGGACACCACAGTGAGTGAGGCAGGACACCACAGTGAGTGAGGCAGGACACTACAGTGAGTGAGGCAGGACACCACTGTGTGTGAGGCAGGACACCACAGTGAGTGAGGCAGGACACCACAGTGAGTGAGGCAGGACACTACAGTGAGTGAGGCAGGACACCACAGTGAGTGAGGCAGGACACCACAGTGAGTGAGGCAGGATACTACAGTGAGTGAGGCAGGACACCACAGTGAGTGAGGCAGGACACCACAGTGAGTGAGGCAGGACACCACAGTGAGTGAGGCAGGACACCACAGTGAGTGAGGCAGGACACCACAGTGAGTGAGGCAGGACACCACAGTGAGTGAGGCAGGACACCACAGTGAGTGAGGCAGGACACCACAGTGAGTGAGGCAGGACACCACAGTGAGTGAGGCAGGACACCACTGTGTGAGTGAGGCAGGACACCACTGTGTGTGTGAGGCAGGACACCACTGTGTGTGTGAGGCAGGACACCACTGTGTGTGTGAGGCAGTACACCACTGTGTGTGTGAGGCAGGACACTACTGTATGTGTGAGGCAGGACACTACTGTGTGTGTGAGACAGGACACTACTGTGTGTGTGAGGCAGTACACCACTGTGTGAGTGAGGCAGGACACCACTGTGTGTGTGAGGCAGGACACCACTGTGTGAGTGAGGCAGGACACCACTGTGTGTGTGAGGCAGGACACTACTGTGTGTGTGAGGCAGGACACTACTGTGTGTGTGAGGCAGGACACTACTGTGTGTGTGAGGCAGTACACCACTGTGTGAGTGAGGCAGGACACCACTGTGTGTGTGAGGCAGGACACCACTGTGTGTGTGAGGCAGGACACCACTGTGTGTGTGAGGCCAGACACCACAGTGTGTGTGAGGCAGGACACCACTGTGTGTGTGAGGCAGGACACCACAGTGAGTGAGGCAGGACACCACAGTGTGTGTGAGGCAGGACACTACTGTGTGTGTGAGGCAGGACACTACTGTGTGTGTGAGGCAGTACACCACTGTGTGAGTGAGGCAGGACACCACTGTGTGTGTGAGGCAGGACACCACTGTGTGTGTGAGGCAGGACACCACTGTGTGTGAGGCAGGACACCACTGTGAGTGAGGCAGGACACCACTGTGTGAGTGAGGCAGGACACCACTGTGTGTGTGAGGCAGGACACCACAGTGAGTGAGGCAGGACACCACAGTGTGTGTGAGGCAGGACACCACAGTGAGTGAGGCAGGACACCACAGTGAGTGAGGCAGGACACCACAGTGTGTGAGGCAGGACACCACAGTGTGTGAGGCAGGACACCACAGTGAGTGAGGCAGGACACTACAGTGAGTGAGGCAGGACACCACAGTGAGTGAGGCAGGACACCACCGTGAGTGAGGCAGGACACTACAGTGAGTGAGGCAGGACACCACTGTGTGTGAGGCAGGACACCACAGTGAGTGAGGCAGGACACCACAGTGAGTGAGGCAGGACACTACAGTGAGTGAGGCAGGACACCACAGTGAGTGAGGCAGGACACCACAGTGAGTGAGGCAGGACACTACAGTGAGTGAGGCAGGACACCACAGAGAGTGAGGCAGGACACCACAGTGAGTGAGGCAGGACACCACAGTGAGTGAGGCAGGACACCACAGTGAGTG